ACAGAGCCTCAAGTTATCTCCCTAGGTAGAGTGCTGTGGCATCACAGCTCATAGCAACCTACAACTCCTGGGCTCAAGCTTGTCTCCTGCCTCAGCCTCCCAAGTAGCTGGGACCACAGGTGCCCGCCACAGCATCTGGCTATTTTTTGGTTGCAGCCGTCATTGTTGTTTTGGTGGGCCCAAGCTGGATTCAAACCTGCCACCTTAGGTGTATGTGGCTGGCGCCTTAGCCACTTGAGCCACAGGCATAAAGCCAGATTACATTATTCTCACGTCCAGCATAAAGTTCCATTTGTAGAAGAGCCCCTCACCCAGGGGCATGTTATACACCCTCACAATGGGCACATTAGGTGCACAGAATATATATTTTTTAAATTAAACTTTTAACCCACATGTGGAAAATAAATCTGTTTTTCCAAAAATGATAACCAAGGAGAAACCTGGGGCTGTCAGAGGGCTGGTGGGAAGACAAGAGTTTTCTCTGTAGACAGCAGGATTCTAGGGGCTGAGTCCCTTTTTCTGAAGGCCTCTGGCTGAGTACTTTGGGATGTAGAGTAAGCATGTGTGTACCCCTTTGACACGCATTTTTCTCTTTCCTGCCTTGGAGTTGAAGGAAGGAACTCCACTGACCACCGTTGAACATGCTATATCCTTTGTTCTCGGTCTCTTTCTCTCCCAACTGTAACATAAAGACAGGGACCTTGACTGGGATCACTGCTATATTTCTGGCACTTAGAACAGTCTCTAGCACATGACTGGCCCTCATTAACAATTCACCAAGTGATGAAATGTCTGTCGGTCCTCAGGTTCTGAATCCTGTGCCCTGACAGGGCCCTGGAACGGGAGGAGACGCCTGTCTCAGACGCTCAAGTTCCTCCCAGGGAGATGCAGAGTCTCACGCCTCAGCAGACTCGAGGGCTGCTGGCACCTGAGAGGACCTCAATGCTGCTGCCCCAGGACAGCAGGACCTGGGACAAGCCACCTCCTCCCACCTTCAGCAAGGACTGGGAGGCTGTGGAAGTTGGGGCCTCCAGCTATGACAGTGATGAGAAAGGTGAGGTGCCCTTGGGAGGGGTGAAGTGGGGGAGAGGTCTTGGCAGAGCCTGGCGAAAACCTGAGCATTTGTTCCTTCACTCATTCCTTCAAAAGATATTTATGGGGCTCTGTGTCAGTCCACTTCAGCTGGGTAGCCACTCCCAAACTTAGTGGTTTAAAGCAGTGATCATTTATCGGCTGGTGATTCTGTGGGTCAGCAGGTTAACCTGGCCTCAGGGGACACATCTCCTGCTGCCCTTGTCTGTACTTGCCCACTGGTCTCAGATGGTCTCACTCACTTGTCTGGCTAATGGCTGGCTGGGTGGTGCTGGGGATTGGACACACATCACCATCAGGCTATCCCAGGCTTGTCCTCATGGAATTGGCTGCAGGGTTCTCAGAAAAGGCAGGAGAGGCGATGCCCCAATTCACAAGCAGCTTCAGAGCTTCTATTGGCAGGCCACTTACTCACCTGGAATCATTCAAAATAAGTCAGGTCTAGAATTTGCAAGGTGTGGACATAGGGAGAGATGAACCTGTTGACCACAAAAAATTGACCACAAGCACCTATGATGTGCTAGGCCGTGTGCCAGGGGCTGGGGATATAGCAGGGGATGAGATGGCCCTGGGTAGAGCGCAGATTTTAGTGGAGAAAATAGACAATAAGAGGGTTAAAAAACAAAGGGAGAGGTGATGTCTGATGTTGATGAGAGCTGCCAATTAGACAGGGTGATGGATGGAGAGTTGCTTGAGTGAGGGTGGTCAGGGCAGGCTTGAGGACCCAGGACGGAGTCAGTTTCTCCAAAAGTCGGGGGAAGGGAATTGTGGGCAGCTAAAGCTATACACAGTGGCTTTGACCCTGAAGAGAGAGGGAAAAATGACAAATCACCCAAGGCCAGTCATGGGGCACAGATTATGTATCATTTGAGTATCAGGAGCCACTGGGAGCTTTGAAGAGGAAGACACTTGAATTTCAGAAAAATTCCTCTAACTCACTGGTTTCCAACCAGGGGTGGTTTTGTACCTCTTCCCCTCACTGGAGGACTTTTGGCAGTCTGGAGACATTCTGGGTTATCCTCTCTGGGGAGATATCACTACCAACCTGTGGGAAGAAGTCAACAGTGGCAGGGCCAAGCATCCTGCATGCATTCACAGTGCCCTGCCACAAAGAACTGCACAGCTGGAGACGCGGACAGTGCCTGGGTTGAGAAGTCCTGTGTGTCACTGCACATGAGAATGGATCACAAGGTTGGGAAGTCTAGTGGAAGGAAGGTGGGAGGCTAATTAGGAGACTCCCTCAACTGTTGGAGAGAGGAGGGATAAGTGGAGAGACAAATCACCTTCAGAAGGGAATATATTCTTGCTGACAGATGTGGGAAAGGGGAAGAAAAGAGATATGGGATTTTGGCCAAAGCAGCTAGATGAAGGGCAGTGCCACTTGCTGAGATGGAGACACCTGAATGACACCCCACAGCAGAAGGGGACTGTACCAGCTACCGGTCCATCTACTATTTTTTCTTTAGATTAATAAAAGAAAAGTTTATTTCCAAATACCATTTGCATGGGAGGACCCACAAGAATGTTTTCCCAAAGTTTCAGTAATGGTCAGATGCCTTTATAGATGGAGTTTGGAAGGGAGGAGGGAAGTATGTGCAATCCATCTACTATTGACTACATTTTTCCTCAAAGGGTGAACAGAAGGTGTAGCTAGCAGAGGTCAGCCTTAGCTGTGAGGTCAGGAGCTCTTGGCTAGTGGGGGTTGTCAAAAAAGTGGAAGCAGCCAGTCTCTGCCCAGCTCCTACCCCCACCCCAGGGATGCTGATGCTCTGACTGGGGAGATTTCTCCCCTAGTGCCTATTCTTTTGGAAATTGGGAAAGTTCCCACCACTCCAGCTGAATTCTGTGAATCTTTCTTCTGCCCCCTCATCTGGCTTTTTTTGGAGGTCCATAGGGAAGGAGTTCTCATACCCACTGGACAGGTGGAGGGATGAAGGCTGAGACAGCAAATGATTCTGTTTCAGTCTTCCAGGTAGTGATAGGATCAGGACTGAGGTCTCTCACTCTCTCAGCTCCACCTGAACCACATGGGCTGGACCGTATGTGTGTGTGTGTGTGTGTGAGAGAGAGAGAGAGAGAAACAGAGAGAGAGAGAAGAGAGAGAGGGGGCAGAGATGGGCAGGAGAGAGAGAGAGAGGGGGCAGAGATGGGCAGGAGCCGAACTGGCCAACTGGTCACCTTCTCATGGCTCCTTCCTCCTCTACCTCCACCAGACCTGTCTTCTCAGGAGACTGGGCTTACCCAGGAGTGGAGCTCAGTGGAGGAAGATGACGAGTCAGAGGACTCCCAGGTAACATGGATGGGGGGGGGGGATCCCTCCTTTCCCATTGAGTATCCCACCCTGAAACTCTCAGCAAGTTGTCACATTGCTAGTTCCCAATGCTTCCCTGGCATTTTAATAGCAATTGTGGTAAACTCATCACTTAGTTTGGAGAATTGTCATCATTAAGAATTGTCATCATTTTTGTTTTCCTGTACTCCATCAGGGTAGGTCTTCCCACACATTCATTCACTTCACAAGTCTACAAAGCCCATACTCCATGCCTGGCAGGGTCCAGGTGCAGGGGATACAGCAGCAAAGCAAAGGCTTTGCCCTCACAGTGCTTGCAATGTCATCAGGAGAAGAGGCGATGAGCATACCTGGCATGTCAGGTGGTGAAGAGGACAGTAAAGGGAGAAGTTGGGGAAGGAGCAAGGGCAGGACAGGGGGCTTTGCTGACAAAGGTTGGGGACAGTGTTCTGTTTTAAATAGGTGGTGAGGGAAAGGTTTTCTAAGGAAGTGAAAGAGTGGGTTTATGGGTGTCTGGAGGAAGGACATTCCAGTTAGAAAAAACAGAACTGCAAAGGCCTGAGGGTGACTGGGGCTGCAGCGAGTGAGAAGAGTGAAGAGTGACTCAGTGCTAGAAGGAGCACCCTGGCTGACCCAGTGAGAGGAAAGCAGGTGAAACTATCGAGATAATAAGAAGGGTCAATAGCAAGAATCCAACAGAGATGATGGGGCCGGAAGTGGTTGGATTCTGGGTGTTTTCAGGAAAGGCCAACAGCATTTGCGGATGTCTTGAATGTGGGTGATGAGAGAAAAAGATGGGTCAAGGGACCCACAGTTGGAGTCCTGGAGGAGTAAGGAGGGGGCAAGTGCATGAGGAGAGGAGAAGAGATTAGAATATGTGTCTGGGACATGTGAAGTTTAAGATGCACATTAGACATCCAAGTAGAGATGGCAAATAGAGAGTGAGGTGTACAGTTGGGAATTCAAGAGAGAGGTTAGATAAAGAAACCCACACATGTGCACACACACACAAACACACACATGCACACGATACACATCTTTTGGGGGAGTCATTAGTATAGATGGCATTTTTAAACTGTGGAGATTTTATATACCTGCCACTTTTTTTTTTTTTTGAGACAGTCTTTGTCTTACTTTGTCTTACTTTGTCTCCCTCGGTAGAGTGTACTACAGGTGCCCACTATAACATCCAGCTGTCTTTTAGAGATGGGGGCTCACTCTTGCTTAGGCTGGTTTCAAACTCCTGAGCTTAAGCAGTCTACCCGCCTAGGCCTCCCAGAGTGTTGGGATTACAGGCATGAGCCACTGTGCCCGGCCTTATACCTATAACATTTTGAAATTTTTCATCCCATTTATTCTGAAATTTCCTCTGATAGAGCATAGGTATATTACTTTCTTTTGTTATCTTATATCTAGTTACTTTGTGGTACAGTTTTCAATTCAGACAGCTTTTCTAGTAATATGCCATTTCATTTCCAATCATATAATCCTATAGCAACGGTGGCCCCTTCCTTTCTAGTATTTATCCTTACTTTTTTTTTTTTTTTTTTTTTCTGTTTCAGGGCTTTGCAGAGTGGTCAAAAGCTCCACAACAAACAACCATAGTCTTGGTAGTGTGTGTGCTTTTTTTGTTTCTAGTTTTAACAGGAATGCCTGTTATGTTTCTTATTTAACTATAATGGTGGCTTTTGTTTTGAAATAGATGCCCTGTGTCATGTTAAAGAAAGTGTGCTGGTTAAAAATCAGGAATGAGTGTTGAGTATTATGAAATGCCTTTCATTTTTTAAGATGATTTTTTAAAACTTTTCGGTGTGAGGTTTTACATTACTGTATTTAATTGAAATTAAGACATCATTGATTGTAAAACACATATTATTTTGTATACCACTGAGAAAGAAAAATGCTAATTAATTATAAGATGCCACCAACTGGAACATGTCTTATGACTTCCAAGAAGGTGAAAAAATGTGCAGTTGGAGATCAATAAACCCTGGTAGGTTTCCTAACAACAAATCAATTGTGCATTCTTAGGGACTTGGTGCACCAGTCTTTTCATATACTGAATTCTGTTTCTTGATATTTCATGGAAAATTCTTGCCTCTCTGTCTATATGTGAGATTGGTGCTATCTTTGTGAAGTTTTGGTATCATGGCTAAGCTTGCATCATAGAAAGACTTGAATAACTTTTACCCTTTTCCATGCTTTTGAATAGTTTCTGTAGCTTGAAAACTGTCAATCCTTTGACATTGTAAAGAATTCACCAGTAAAGTTAGCAGGACCTAGAGACATGGCGGGGGGGAGGTTTCAGCTACTTCTTGGGCAGCTTTCTCACTTTCTCCTAATGTTATCAGTTAATTAATACTTTTTACTTCTTGCATTCATTTTGATGACTGATAGAATTCTTTTATCCCCTAAGACATTTTTCATTCCATGGAACTTTCTAGATTATTAGCTTAATTGTGCATATTGTTTTATAATTAAACAAAAATCTTCTGTCCATGGGCAGTGCCTGTGGCTCAAAGGAGTAGGGCGCTGTCCCCATATACTGGAGGTGGTGGGTTCAAACCCAGCCTTGGCCAAAAACTGCAAAAAAAAAAAATCTTTTGTCCATTTTGTTCTATCCCCTTTAGCCTTTCAAATTCTGTTTTTCGTTTACTTATTATCAGATTTGTCAGTTTGTCTAGCTTACTGTTGTTATTCCAAAGAACCAGCCTTAGAATTTATTTATATCCAATACTTCTTTTATTTATAATGTGTTTAATATGTATAATGTTTTTTATTGTCTTTGTCTCAATTTTTAATTTCAATACGTAATTTATATTCTCTTTATATTTTCTGCATTAGTATACTTCAGATAAAAAAATGTACTTATGGTTATAGCCTTGGCCACATCTTAAAGTTTGATTATCTATTCTTATTTATGTTATTGTCTGAATATTATGTTGTAGTGTTCCCAAAGAGTGCTTTGAATCACAGTGATTTGGTTTACTCTTTGTTTAAAGACAGTTTTTTTTCTTGTTTTATTGCCCTGTGAACAGACGATGTGGCCTATATTATTTTGTGGAGACCCATACTTTTAGAGATGGGGTCTCACTCTTGCTCAGGCTGGTCTCAAACTCCTGAGCTCAAGCAGTCTGCCCGCTTAGGCCTCCCAGGTGACTGAATGGTTACCCATGCCCAGCACCAGCCCCCGAGTCATTAAGGACAATGACCACACAGTTATAAAACGACCTTATAAAACTGCTTCCACAACCTTTTAAAAAAACTTTTATTGTGGCCTAGAACATATCTAATTTTTGCAATTGTTTCATGAACATTTGAGATGAATATATATTCTCTGTCTATAGAATTCAAAACCCTGTCTGGGATTTTTTGTTTGTTTGTTTGTTTGTGTTTTGAGACAGTTTCACTATGTCACCCTCGGTAGAGTGCTCTGGTGTCACAGCTCACAGCAACCTCAAACTCTTGGGCTTAAGTGATTCTCTTGCCTCATCTTCCCAGTTAACTGGGTCTACAGGCACCCACTACAATGCCCAGCTGTTTTTTTTTTTGTAGTTGTCATTGTTGTTTGGGAGGCCCACTCTGGGTTCAAACCAACCAGCCTCGCTGTATGTGGCTGGTGCCCTAGCTACAGGCGCCAAGCCATACATGTCTGTTAATTAACTGAGCCTCAGCAATTACATTCTTTAGATTCATGTGTTATTTAACTTTGGCCTACCCTAACAAGGTTATGTAAAGATCTGTTAATACAACTGTTTTCATCAATTTGTTTTTATAATCTTTGGTTTATGTATTCAACATCTGTGTAATTTGATGCATATAAATACAGCATTGTTACGTCCTTGCCAATTAAGTAATACAAGTAAAAGACCAAGCACAGTGCCAAGCATATAGTAGGCACTCAATAAATGTTAAAACCTGATTCTGCCTCCTTTGTTAAACTTAAAATGATTGTTTTTAACCAATTTAATCCTTTGCCTTATGATATCACCATCCCGCTCTTTTAAAATTCTTCTATGTAGCTGAGTTTCTCTAGAGAATTAGAAGAGAAAGTATGAGATTCTCTCTCCATTTCTCTCACAGGCTAATTATATCCAACAAGCAACTAGCCCTTAAATGAAAAGAACTCAGATCTCAGCTTTTACATTTTGGGGGATTTTATTAGTTGCAAGTAAGAGAAGCTCAATTCAAATGAGTTTCAGCAAAAATAATGATAATAGTAATTATTATTATTGGTTCATGTTACACCAACCTTTGGGATAAAACTGGCTTCCACAGATCCAAAAATATCACTGTGCTTTTCTTCTCTTCATAGTTGTGCCTCCCTCTAAAGGTGACCTCCATTGCTTCTTCCCACATGGATGGATGGCTACCTCCAGCCAGGGATGGCCTCTTCCACATGGCAAAGTAGGAACCTGGTGGCTCTCAGGTTCCTACTCACAGCTCCCATCCCTGCCTTGCTGCTGGGGCACAAATCCTGAAAAAAGTGGGGAGAGAACAGCAACTGCAGAGGTCATGAGGCAGGAGCAGACTGTCCAAATAACAGGAGGAGCGTGGTTGGCAGCAGGGCAAAGGTGGAAGTGGGAAGAGGAGTGTGGAGATCGCTTTAGACCACTTCTTGGCCCCTCCCTGGCCCCGCCAGTTCTACACAGAATGGGTCTGACCTGCCCCATTCTGCTATGTCCTGTTTCATCCTACTCTCTTGGGTACTTAAACTCTGCTACATGTTTATAAACTAGGGTGGCATTGGACTCATTCGTCTACTCACCCAGCGTTTCGTGAGGATCTACTATTTGCTGGGCCTGGGTTGGGCGATGTATAGGGCACAAGGAGGAACCAACTGTGTGGTTGTTGTCCCTAATGACTTGGGGGCTGGTGCTGGGCATGGGCAACCATTCAGTCACTGGCAATTCTTCAGGACATACTGGGTGCTGATGTCTGGTTGGTCAGGAGCCCAGGGAAGGAACTGTGTGGACCCTGAAGAGCACCAGGGCCAGGTCAGGCATTTTTCACTTATTCGTTCATTAGCTATACATTGCCTGAGGGACTACTGTGTACAGATTTCTGACCCTGCAGGCACCAAGGCCAGTTTTTCACTCACTTATTCATTCACTTTGATAATACCTGAAGGCGTACTGTGTTCTGGGATTCTGTGTGGATGATGCAACGACAGAGGTAAAAAACCTCCAGCTTTCTTGGTGGGGCCCTGAATTGAAGTCATCTGTGGAGAGAGCAGATATGCCTTTTTTGTCTGTCTACATGTCTGGGTCTCTAAGTGCCCAGTATCTTAGCTCCCCCATCCCATTGCCCAGTTATACACATTAAAGATCATGTTTCATTTATTTTTAAGACTTGAAACATTATTTTCACATAAATTACATCACTTTTACAAACTTTTTTGAGGGGGGAGGGGACAAGGAAATCTGCATATGAAATGAACACTGGATGGCATTAAAATTTTGTTATGTGTGATAACAGTACTGTGGTTATATAGCAGAAGATAGCTTTTCTTGTTTTCTTACAGATGTAAGTACAAGACCAAAACAGCCATAAGTGATTCTATTACATAAGAAATATTACACCCAAATACTGTCAGAGGAATAATGTCTCTCCATGTGCCTACTAATACAAGGCATCTCAAAGTACAAGATAATAAAAAAGCAGACAGAAAATTCTGTGTACCATATGCTACCATTTGTGTGTGAAGGTATGCTATATCCTTCCAGCATATTCTAGGCATATAAACAAATATTCATATATATACTTTTTATATATATATTTTTTGAGACAGAGCCTCAAGCTGTTGCCCTGGATAGAGTGCCATGGCATCACAGCTCACAGAAACCTCCAACTCCTGGGCTCAAGCGATTCTCCTGCCTCCGCCTCCCAAGTAGCTAGGCACCTGCCACAACGCCCAGCTATTTTTCGGTTGCAGCCATCGTTGTTGTTTGGTGGGCCCGGGCTGGATTTGAACCCGCCAGCTCAGGTGTATTGGCTGGCACCTTAGCCGCTTGAGCCACAGGTGCCGAGCCACATATATATGCTTTTATATATATGTGTGTGTGTGTGTGTGTGTGTGTGTGTACGTATACATAGGTAAATGAAGTGACTGCTTCTAGTAAGGGGATTAGTAGCTTGGGAGTAAAAGGGTAAGATTAATATTTTTTTTTACTTTATAAATATGGAGCATGTGAAGTTATGTGATTATGACTTTTGTTTCACCAATGTAGAAAATGAGGTGCATTACTTGCTCCCCTCCTTCACTCCTTTTGGGCACAATGGGCGCTTCCTACACTGATCCTGGCCTTGGCTACAAGCCTTGCTTTGGCCATTGAGACTAGATTCAAAGGTCACTCTATCAGAGGCTTGAAACTGTGCCGGTGTGTATTTACTCTCCCTTTGCCCCTGCCCACCTCCCTGAGAACACACCAGGTTAGATGTGTGTCACTGGAAGAATGACCTGGCCCAGCTGAGCCCTCTTGGAGTAGCCAGCCCCTACCTGACCCACAGCTGTTTTGGACGCCTGCATGAGTCCAGCTGAGATCAACAAAGCCTGGTCCAGACCAACAGAACCACCCAGATGACCTGCAGATGTGTTAAGAAATGGACAGATGAGGTCTGGATAATTTGTTACACAGCAGGAGCTAACTAATGTAACCACTAAATTCAGGTCTTTAAGTTACAGGAGAAAAGGATGGGGAGAGAGGCTGTTTCCTCATACAGAAAAGACTGGGTCCACTCTAAAAATCTTTTGTAGCTGTGTCAGGTATTCACCACTTCTAGAACAATTTCCTATCCTGACTCTCTCCCACTCATATTTCTTAGTGAATCTCGATTTCTTCCCTAGACTCTGCTCCTTTTTGTTTTTTTTTTTTGAGACAGAGTCTCAAGCTGTCACCCTGGGTAGAGTGCCATGGCGTCATAACTCACAGCAACCTCTAACTCAGGCTCAAGTGATCCTCTTGCCTCAGTTTTTCAATTTTTAGTAGAGATGGAGGTCTCGCTTTTTGCTCAGACTGGTCTTCAACTCATGAGCTCAAACAATCTACCAGCCTGGCCTCCTAGAGTACTAGGATTACAGGTGTGAGCCACCACACCCACCCACACTCTGCTCCTTTAATAAATATGCTAGCTTCACCAAAGGAGCTGAAATTTTTATTCCCTTTAATCCAATTAAAATTATTGAGCATGGACTTGCTCAATCATGACATCACCTGAAAAACCAGCCATAGCCCCTCAGCTTGTGCCATCAGGAGCCAGCTGAAGGGAGTCTGACCAGTCCCAGGGCTGTGTGGCCTGGGGAAAATTACTGAGCTTCTCTGAGCCTGTTTCCTCACTAAGCAGGGTGGTAAGGCTGGGAAATAGGCATAAAAGTGCTTAGCGGACCACCTGGTCCATGCCCTGTTAAGCTCAATTCTCCATCTTCTGCTGGTCCAGATGTGTCTGCAAGGGCACCACTGCTTGAAGGCTTCTCCCCATGAACGCTCAGGGGTAGTCAGGTGTGAAAGCTAGGCAAAGGCTTCCCCACCACAGCCATATAAGTTAGGGCTTCTTGTCCGCATGCGTCCTTTGGTGCCGGATCAGTGCAGAGGAGAAGCTGAAGGCCTTCCCACAGCTGTCACACTCATAGGGCTTCTCCCCAGTGTGCACAATGTGGTGTTGCAGTAGGTAGGATCGATTGCTGAAGGCCTTCCCGCACTGAAGGCAGGCATAGGGACGCTCGCCTGTATGTGTGAGCTGGTGCACAGCAAGGGATGAGCCCTGGCTGAAAGCTTTGTTGCACTCACCACACTTGTAGGGCCGTTCCCCAGTGTGGATCTTTTGATGCTCTATGAAAGAGGACACGTGGCTGAAGGCAGCCGCACACTGCAGGCACTTGTAAGGACGCTCGCCGGTGTGTACAAAGTGGTGCTGGAGGAGGTGCGAGTGGTTGCTGAAGCGCTTGCTGCAGTCTGGGCATGTGTAAGGCCGCTCACCAGTGTGCGTGAGCTGGTGCTGCGCCAGGTGCGACATCTGCGTGAAGGTCTTTGCGCACTGGCTGCAGGCTTAGGGCTTCTTGCCATTGTGGATTCTTAGGTGCTCGGCCAGCGAGGTGCTCTGGCTGAAGGGCATGCCACAGTCTGGGCACATATAGGGCTTCTCCCCGGTGTGCACGCGCCTGTGCTGCATCAGGTGTGCGATCTGTGTGAAGGCCTTGGCGCACTGGCCACAGCAGTATGGTTTCTCTTCCGTGTGCGTGCGCTGGTGGCGGATGACCGCCGACAAGAAGCGGAAGGCCTTGGCGCAGTCTGCACACTCATAGGGCTTATCGCCTGTGTGGATTCGGTGGTGCTCAATCAGGGATGAGCGGCTGCGGAATGTCTTTGTGCACTGGGCGCACGCATAGGGCCGTTCACCTGTGTGTATGCGCTGGTGCTGGGTCAAGTGCGTGATGCATGTGAAGGCCTTGCCACAGTTGGTGTAGCAGTGCAGTCTCTCGCCTGTGTGCCTATGCCAGTGAGATACCAGGTAGGAGCCCTGGCTGAAGGCCGTGCCATACTCATGGCACGCATATGGCTTCTCTCCCATGTGTGCACTGGTGCAGGGTCAGGTGTATGCTTTGGCTGAAGGCCTTGCTGCACTCAGGGCAGGCGAATGGCTTCTCCCCAGTGTGGATCCTTTGGTGCAAAAGGAATGCTGAGCAGTAGCTGAAGGCCTTCCCACAGTCCTCACAGTTTCACCGCTTCTTGGAGCTGCCACCTTTCTCCCCTTGGCCACTGTCCAAATGTTTCTGCTTTGAGCTCTTGTTTGGCACACCGCACCACCCAGGCCTACTATCACCACCAACCCTGGCTTGGGTGACTGTCGGACTCAAGGTTTTTGGGATTTGGCTGAGATCACTGCACTCCTGGACACTGTCCCCTACAGGGTCTCCCTTGTGGGCTACCACCTCTGGGTCCACATAGCTTTCCTGGTGTTCCTGCAGGTCTGTGAACTGACTCTCATGTTTCCAGGTTCTTTCCAACTCTGAGTCCTGGAAGGTGACACTCAAAAGTCCCTCCATCCCTACTCCCTGAGCTGTTGTCTCCTCTCTGGGTTTAAAAGAAAAGAGAAAAAACAAATTGCCCTGGGCTGGGAAAAGGCTAACACATGGGCTTGAGAAGGACTTAGTCCCAGTCCCTGGACCTCAGTACCACAGACATCTTAGGCCTGATAATTCTTTGTCATTCAGCTGTCCCATCCTGTGCATTGTAGGATGCTGAGCAGTGTCCCTGGTCTCTTCACACCAGATGCCAGGAACACCCTCTCCACCCTAGCTGTAACAATCAAAATGTCTCCAGACATCGCATGAGGTCAGAAGGTCTCTGGTTGGTAATCACTGATGTAATGAAACTGAAAACAAATTTAAAAGATCCCTGCCAAAAAAACTACTAATCTGTCATCACTTAAATGTACCCTTATAACATAGTGCTATGGACTGAATTGTATGCCCTCAAAATTCATATATTGAAGTCCTAATCTCCAAGATGATGCTATTTGGGGGAGGAGGAGTGTCTCTGGAAAATGCTTAGGCTTAGATGAGGTCATGAGGGTGGGATCACCCAATATGAGATTAATGTTTTTATAAGTGGAAGAGATACTGGAGCTCTCTCTCTGCCAAGTGAGGACACAGAAAGAAGGTGACCAATCCAGGAAAAGAGCCCTCATCAGTACCGAACCATGTTGATAGCCTGTATCAAACTTCCAGCCTCCACAACTGTGAGGAAATAAATAGCTATTGTTCAACTCACACAGTCTGTGGTATTTTGTTGCAGCAGCTGGAACTAAGATACCTGGAAATAAAGTTTCTTCTCTGGGGAAAAATCAATTCATTCCATACATAGAGGAAAAAACAACCCCTAAATTCCATGCAAAATATGTGGCTGGTGGGAGTATGCTTTGGGAAAATAGCTTAGAAGATTGCTTGTTATTTTCTAGGAAAGCAGAAAACACACATCCTCTGTGGCCCAGTAATCACATCCTCTGGGTTGTTAGCAACAACCAGAGAAGTGTGCACATCTGTGCACCTTTAGGGCTGTCTAAGTTGGCTGGTAACGACTAAGCACTAGAAGCAATCCTGCCACTCAGCAACACGGGAATGGACAAATAAATGGGGCATATTCATACCAGGGTTATCTCACAGAAGTAAACATCAAGACCTCAAACAGTGTTGGCAAGAAAGGCAAAATGCGGAATAATCTTTCAGGTATGACGCTATGTAGGCTTAAATGCAGGCAAATCAAAACGCTTTGCTTTTTAGGGATTATAAACCCATGGCAAAGGTTCATAAGGGTATGTGTAGGTAAGCCAGCTTGGTATGTACAGGCAGCCCTAAGACCTGAGTGGGCTCACCCGGATCCCCAGAATGAGTCGGGGTTCCTACCTCGTAGTCTTGGGATCTGTGTCACTCAGGTTGGCACCCCTGCTCTGGCTGCCATGACTCAGTGGGTCTAGTCAACATCTGTGGGAAAAAGAAAGGGGACATGTGAAGGAAGATACTGTGGTAGACACAGGCATTGGAGGGAGTATGTGGGGCAAGTAATGCCTTCTCCCCATGCATGTGTGGGGAGGGAAATGGATTCCAGGATGAGTTGGGTAATCTGGGGGGGAGGGGAGACACACACACACACAAATATAAGCCCAGAGACACAGACACGCTGGGGCAGTAGAGAAAGTTTTTTCTATTCCCAGCACTTCTGATGCATGGGTTTTAAAAATATATACTTTTTATTATATCACAGTATCACAGGTAGACACATGCATCACATCACACTCTGACACACAGAGTCACATGCAATCAGGGTTAGTTACAGCACATGCACAATTAACACAAGAACACACAGGGACACATCATTATTGGCATCCACTACTCCAGGAGGCAGATGGGAGGCTGTGCACCTGCAGCCACACTCACACCTGCACACAGGGTCTTAGGCATACATAAGCACACATACACCCAGCCCCACACTAGCATCCCCAAGTGACCAGGCACACACCGAAGTTACGCGTGCTGCACCGCTTCACATAGGCAGGCTATGTGCTGAGACACCACTCACGGGACACCTGGATACCATGCAGTCACACCCAATGGGCAGAACTCAACATGCCCCAAGGCCACATGTGCAAGGTCTACCACCTTCACAGATGCACACACAGTGACCCATGTCCTGCACCATGTTTCTCACAAACACATCCTGTGACATAACTACTCTGTCTTCTACATATTCAAGGACACAAAGAAGGGCACAGGCACACCCAGAGACTCACACATGGGGTTATATGCATAGGCCTCATGCTCAGTAGGACAGGTTTCACATGTGCCAAAGTCAGTCACCATAGTCTATGTGTGACACGGTGTGATGTGATGCCCAAATGCATGCAGACATGTGCTCAATTTTACACACTGCTTCACGTGCATAGGCACATGCCACGACACTGGAGTGACCAGGTGCAGACACGGTGACACGCGGGGAAAGGACCACTCTCACCTGCACGGACACACAGCACTGGAGTAACTGGGTGCAGACACGGTGACACGCGGGGGACGGGTTGACACACATCTGCATGGGCACATGCACTGGAGTGACTGGGTGCAGACACGGCAATACACTGGGACACAGCACACAAATGAACGGCAGGCACCGCCGAAGTCGCGAACTTACACCGACATAGGCGGTCATGCGCATGCGCATATCTCACACCGGTGCTTTCGTCTCCTAGGGCCACCTCCAAAGGCCCCAGCGGCTCTTGCCAAGCCTGATGGAATCGCCTCAGCTTCTCCCTGGTTTCCAGCCCTCCTGGGCCAATGCAGACCCCGTGGCCCTCTTTCCTCAAGACGCGGAGATCAAGAGCCCACGATCACGCACCGGCCCACTGTCCAGGCCGGCGCTCACCGAGCCTGCGCATGTTCTGTGTGACGCCGACGAACCACAACTCCCAGAAGGCCCTGTGCACCGGCTCCTCAACTGAATGGCACGCAGGGCTGGATCACCGAAACTACAACTCCCAGAAGGCCCAGCGCCCCGTGCACCAGTTCTACAGGGCCCAGACTCCTTTGGGGCCGGGTGTTGACGAGAGGCTGGGGGCAGGGCTCATGCCTGCCCCTCAACCCTTGCATTGTCTCAGTGTAGGGCCGCAGATATAGCCAGTAATTAAAGGTGGCGTTTTTCTTCATACATAAACCAAATCTCATTTTACCAAAAAAAAAAAAAAAAAAGGAAAGAAAGAAATAAACCAGATGTAAACTCTGATAAATACAATTTTGCTCTTCATGAAGTCACCTGCAAAGACACTGAAAGAACAGAATCGTATTTGCTTCACGAACAGCTGTTTTAGAGTGTCTAGCTCCGTAGAACCACTGGAAGGCACTCTTGCATCACAGAAGGAAGGGCACACCTGCTCAAACCACGCCTTTCCTAAGAAAAGAAAAAAAGATTCCGGCGAGAGACTCTCAAGCCGAGGGGAAAGGGAGTTGGGTGGGGCTGGGAGAGATGTCGCTCAAAGTCAGGATGGGGTCCCCAGCTCCTAAGACCCAGGAGATGGAGTTGCAGCCTCACATCTCCCTCACCCGGAAACACACTGGAAAGGCACACATTTTCCTGAAGCATGAAAACGGTGTGATTTTCCACAGAGCACCGTTGCCTCTGCTCCGACAGTGCAGGACCACAGCGGCTGGCTGAACGCCACCTGATACGACGTTCCTTCTGTGACCCTTGCGGCGTTTACCTGACCTGGACGGTGATGAGATGGTGGAATGGCTTGGGGGTTGGGACCCAATTTCAAATCCTGCCCCTTTCTCCCCCACTCCTGGCTGCATGTCCCGGGGCAGGGTGTTTTGCCTCGCTGTATCTCATCTGGGAAATAGGTACGATTGGATTGACTTCTCCATATGAAAAAGCAGGATGTCCTGGGTACTTCCTCCACCTAAGGTTATCACTGTAATAGGAAAAGCAGCAGAGTTACTCTGACGAAATAGGCAAATAAGTAGGCATATTGTAAACCAGAATTTAAAGACACGTATTTCAGTTGTCAAGTTTCATGTGAATGGCTGCCTCAAGACTAAGGTGACCAGATTTTAACATTGGTAAAGCGGGACACCATTGACCAGGGGGTGGGGGTGGTGTTCTTAATTAAAAATTTGGTCTATATGGAGGAACAAAAATTTTCATAGAACGTAAAAATAGTATTGTAATATATATTTTTAATTTCAACATAAGTACAATTTACTTAATTTAATATATTTATTTAATATATTAAATACTGTATTTAATATAATACATTAAAAAAAATTATGTATAGGGCAGTGCCTGTGGCACAAAGGAGTAGGGCGCCTGTCGACCTTGCCCAGGAGGGGAGTACAGAGTTTACATTAGCCTTTTCATTTCCAAATAAAGTTACATTAACCACTTCATTCCCAAATGGAGTTACATTAACCTTTTCGGCAGCCAAAACCTGTATATTCCCTTCCCGTTGTCCCGTAGTTCCCTAGCTTATCATGCATTCTTTCCAAAAATCAGGACTTTTTTAAAACTCCACGGGATGCGGGAGAAATTGTTAAAAGTCGGGACGTCTGGTCACCTTACTCAAGACTAGGTTGGGACACTGTATGGACCTTCTACATTTTAATGCAATGTTTTAAAAAAATGAATGATGAATTTTAAAAATAAAAGCAAGATTAGGATTAATGATTTTCTTCTTCTGTTGTAGGCTCCATCTTGCCTCAGATGTATGTGCCAATGCACATCGATTTGGGGACCAAAAAGAGTGAGTATAGCCCTTCAGGGTCACAGGAAAGTCGCTAGAAATTTCTGAAAGCTATTGCCAGTGGAAAATAAATTATTTGTTCACAGCTTTCTTCCATACAGCTAATATTTTTATAAAGGTTTACTGTGTGCCTTCATTTATGTACATACAATTTTAATGTATATATTAAATAATATGTAAGTGTAATGTACAATAATGTAAATATTGTAATAATATGATGTAATTAATGCATAATATATAATGTTAACATGTAAGTTGCTTGAGTATGAAAATCGAGGCTACCAAACCTGGAGGGAGGTGCCTGGGCTGAGCTGAAGTTGTCCTGTAGCAGGAAACCGCAGCAGACAGAAGACTCCAGGCACCAGTTGATTAGAGGAAGCAGGTTTATTCGGCCTGGGGTACTCGGAACACCAGCGTGTTTCCCAAAACCAAGCCCCCTGACTCAATCTCTTGCCTCTCTCTTATCCACTTTTCAGGGCAGGATGCAGGTGAGGGTCATAAAACAGAGAGAGACATGACATCATCCTCAAGGTCCCGGGCTCTAGGGGGAAGGTCAGATTCGCCCTCGTCCTTGAGAAGGGTTGGACCACCTGCCCCCAAAAGCAACAGAAACCCAAGGAAGTTACTAGGTTACAATCTGGGGGGGGGGGCATGTCAAGGAAGAAACATACAGACAACAGAAACACCTGTGGCTTGGCTGAGGCCTACACAGGGCGGCTAGAACAGTTTCTTTTAGTTCTGCTTTTACTTTCTTGCTTCAGCCCCACCATTATTGTCAGCCATATCTCTGTTGTCTTTTCTCTCTTGGCACCTTCCCAGGCCCCATTTAGGGTGGGGCTCCTGTCTCAAGTGCTCCTGGCTCCCTATGTATGCACTCACTGTCTTTATTGAATATTTGATTAAACAGAAAATGTAGGTGGATAAAGAGTTACTTAAGGTGTCTTTGCACATTTGAAATGTCAGCTCCATGGGAGGTAGGCTGTTGTCTTATTTACAGCTGTCCAGCCCATGGTGGTTGCTTGTGTGTATGTGTAATGAATGAATGAATGAGTGAATTAAATCACCTTCAGACCCACTAGATTTGTGCCAGGGTCAGGGAGAATCCCTAAATACAACAGGATATACTGCACATTTTTCAAAATTTTCTGAGTGCCATAGTATATGTATTTTCATGTTGTGACCCCCATACACCTATGTAAGTGAAATGAAAATTTTATGAACCATTATACCTAGCAATACACACCAGTATTTATTTATTTGTTTTATTTATTTATTTATTTATTTATTTTGGAAGAGACAGAGTCTCACTTTATCGCCCTTGGTAGAGCGCTGTGGCGTCACACAGCTCACAGCAACTTCCAACTCCTGGGCTTAGGAGATTCTCTTGCCTCAGCCTCCTGAGCAGCCAGGACCACAGGTGCCCGCCACAATGCCCGGCTATTTTTGTTGTTGTTGTTGTTGCAGTTTGGCTGGGGCTGGGCCTGAACCTGCCACCCTCAGTATATGGGGCAGGCGCCCTACCCACTGAGGCACAGGTGCTGCCCTATTTGTTTATTTTAGAGACAGCGTCTCTCACTTTATCTCCCTCAGTAGAGTGCTGTGTTGTCACAGCTCACAGCAACCTCCAACTCCTAGGCTTAGGTGATTCTCTTGCCTCAGCCTCCCGAGTAGCTGGGACTAAAGGTGCCCACCACAATGCCTGGCTATTTTTGTTGTTGTTGTTGTTGCAGTTTGACTGGGGCTGGGTTAGAACCTGACACCCTTGGTATATGGGGCCAGCACCTTACCCACTGAGCCACAGGTGCCACCTTACACACTGGCATTTTAAAAATTGCATTCCAGTCTTCTAAATTTTATTTCATCAAAATACACTAATGTCTGTCTGTGACTAAAGGCAGTCAAAAGAAACAAATATATACTGATCATGATAAATGGAGATTGATTACATGAATCCTTAATATGTGCCATCTCATGGATTTAAGGCACTACTTTGGAGCCAGCTGAAAACCACTGGTTTGGCTTTTTAGGTTAAGAGCATGGAGGCTACTAGATTGGTAGGTTGTGGCTCCCAGTTAAGTCATTAACAGCTGTGTGATTTTAGTGCTTGTGACTTAGTTTTTCCTGTGTGTAAAATGGGGATGATACTGGGAATGGCATTCACCTCTTATGACTACTGTAAGTTTAAAGTATCAACAATGGTGCCTGACACAGAGTAAGTGCCATATAAAAGCCAGGGTGATGAAGATGATGATGATGACAATGATGATGGTGGTGGTGGTGATCTGGTGATGATGAGGATGATGATAATGGTGATGATGGTGGTAAGGGTGGTGATGATGATGGTGATGGTGGTGGTAAGGGTGGTGATGATGATGGTGATGGTGGTGATGAGGGTGATGATGATGGTGAATATGATGGTAGTGATGGTAGCAATGATGGTGATAATGGTGGGGATGGTGGTAGTAAGGATGGTGATTATAATGATAAATATGATGATAGCAATGGTGACAGTAATGATGATTGTGGTGATGAGGGTGATGATGACAATTGTGATGGTTAATTTTTGTTTTGTGAGACAGAGTCTCACTATGTTGTTCTGGGTAGAGTGCTGGGTTGTCACAGCTCACAGCAACCTCAAACTCTTGGGCTTAAGTGATTCTCTTGCCTCAGCCTCCCAAGTAGCTGGGAACTACAGGTGCCCAACACAATGCTTGGATTTTTTTTTTTTTTTTTTTTGAGACAGAGTCTCAAGCTGTCACCCTGGCTAGAGTGCTGTGGCATCACAGCAACCTCCAACTCCTGGGCCCAAGCGATTCTCCTGCCTCCGCCTCCCAGGTAGCTGGGACTACAGACGTCCACCACAATGCCCGGCTACTTTTTGGTTGCAGCCGTTATTGTTTGGTGGACCTGGGCTGCCAATTTGAACCTGCCAACTCAGGTGTATATGGCTGGTGCCGTAGCCGCTTGAGCCACAGGCACTGAGCCTGGCTATGTTTTATTAATTTTTTTATTAAATCATAACTTTGTACATTGATGCATTTATAGGTTTCAGTATATGGCTTTGATATATAAGGTGAAATGCTTACATTGAACTAAGTAATACACCCATTTCTTAATAGTTTT